ACTTGTTACGGTCGTGGTCATGCTTTTGGCTTGCCAGACCTCCGCGCGCCGCGCCCTGGTAGCACTGCCGCTGCTGGTCTGCGACTGCTAATTGTTCAGACCCGAGAGTCCGTTTTCTTCACAGCTAACCTTCACTGAAGGTCGTGCCACTATCCGCCATCTGTGGACGCGCCGGGTAGCCAGCAGCTAAGCTAACGAGAAACCCGCCTTCCCGGTAACCCTGCATCTAATACCACCACTACGTGCATCAAAGCAGAGAAAATAAGATCGACACCAACCGAAAACTAGCAAACATACAATGACATTCACCCAAATTCAACTACTTAATACCGTAATGAACGAGCGTAAAGTTTTTACCCACCTTGAGAATGGCAAACTGAGCCTGACAGTGAGCCTGACGCCAAGCACCCGAATCGCCGCTGCTGGTTGGGGGTGTAAAGAATTCCAAACTCATGAGTCCGGAGCGAACCATCGAGAGCCAGTTGATATAAATGACATCCTCAGAGATGTACTTGTTCTCTGGATCGAAGATCTTGAAAACATCGGCAACGTCACACAGGTATATGCCTACGCACTCCGCCCGACACTCTTCGAAGGGCGAGGCAAGGCTGGAAAATTTGGAATCCCATGTCTCACCCGGTTCGTACCTGAAAAAGAAAAATGTTTTCAAAAAAAACTCAGAATTTCAATGAAGAGCGCGGACAGAATCGGTACAGCACAAATGACGGCATGCTAACAGATCAGACAATTTTTTTCCAAATAGAGAAAACCTTTCAAAATGGACAAAGCAGAATTACAACTATCAGACGATTCCGAAGCAATTTAAACGAATTGCATGGCTGAAGGGCAAAATCTGTTTACTTCACTAGCCTGTTTCGGTTGACTGCCTTATTAAGCTGTTCAACGAAACAAGACTCAAATCTAATTTGTAGGCAAAACTTATTGAGAAAAGTGAACTCTAAATCTTCGGGACCCCAGGGTTCCTCAAGTGAAGTACTAAACAGGAGACAACTGCGAGCTGTAAGGCGACGCTATAAACTTATGGAAAAAGATATTAGCTTTTGGCTGACCGGTATCTGGTTCATTTTTTTAAGTTAAAATAAGTTCTTTGATACTTTGTTTAAAAATGGACATAACACCAAGTAACCCTAGAGCAATGCCTTATAAACTCGACTTTGCTTACTCAGCTTGAAAAGCTGCTACAAGTATAGGGTATATTCAACTGGCCAACAAACTTCATGAGTAACTGGTGAGAACTTGGCAAAAAATTTACACCAGTAAAAAAGCTATTTAACGGCCATTACTAGTTTATACAGCACGAAAGAAGGCACTTTTAATTTCTTAGACTAGCCTCAATATTACGGTTTTGTGGAGTATCGAATAAGACATTAAAACAGAAACAGTAGATTCCCTATCTCATGAAGTGTAAAACAAAATTTTGAATGGTGTTTTTGATACTAATAAATTAGCGTGGATGCTAATTTCAAGGTAGCGCTGTCACGTCTAGATGTGGGCTGTTGACTAAGCTTCTGTCTGGCTGACTGCAAAGAGTATACTCTGTAAAGATGGCAACTTAATAAGTATGCATCTTTCTCATTGATTTGCGACGCCTTTGTAAACTGTAGTATTTATATTTTATGGAAAACATGCAAAAAAATATTCTCTCTCGTACTCATTTGGTAGCAAAGCACACTTTCTTCGGATTTTATACTTAAAGAAAGGTTTTCTTTCGGTTTTAACATTTTTTTAAATTGTGAATAATTTGGAACCCCACTGGTCATTACACTTGCACGCAATCTGCATACATTTTGTCCAAAGAGATTATATATTTATTTACGCTTGGGGAGGGAGTCACATTATCCTCATTAAATTTAACAATTGAAGTTGGTAACGTTGTATACATTATAGGCAATATTGATAAATAGATGTATGCGTTTTATTTTGAAAGAACATGTCACTATTGTTAAAATTGTCATAAATTTAAACTTCTTTAAAACCGAAAGAAACCCTTTGCTCAAGCATAAAATTTGAAGGCGTCATTTCCTAAAAAACGGGTAAAAGAGAGATGGATTTTGTGCGTTTTTTATAAAATATATTTGAATTTATAAAGACATATAAAAATGCGAATAAGCAAAATTTTTGTACACTTGTTGTAGGCGATCAGAAGGACACTTGTTTGAAAGATGACATGGGGACGTAAAATATCTAGCGAGTAGAGAGCACACGAATATTTATTTCAATCCTAACTAAGTAATTTATTTGAATCGAAAACACTTCAGCATTTTAGCTGACATATAGGCAGGTAGGTAATCTATTGTATATCACCCAATATCGGCAGTATAAATTCGATTCAAGATGGTCGCAAACTGCGTAGGTACTAACCAGTATGTTAGGTCACCACCGGTTAACAAATCTCGGACGGAGCTGCGAAAATTGAAGGAACCATCATCTTGGCGTCTGAAGAGTTTACCTGAGCCATGACCTAGGAGCTCATGAAGGCCAACTTGTATTTCAAACGCCTGACCGACGTTTGTCAGATAGCACTGCTTGTCCTTTTCACAGAGGAAGGTGGCTGTTGGATCCTGAAGCAGGGAAATGTCATAAGATGAGGAAAACTAGTTCTTGATATGAGCCCCAATCCGTGTTCAATTCAAATGCACAGAGGGGTGAGCAAACCATTGGGAGGGGTTGGGTAGTTTTAAGTTAGAATGGTTTGGCAAGACCCAAGAGCGCATCAACATTTGTAAATTATATCAGAAGAGATGGAAAAATTGGCAAGATACATGCTAAGTGAGGAGGAAAATGACGGAAGCCAAAGAGAATGCCACAAAACGACAAGAAAATAAACCCGACTCTTAGCTTTACTCATAAAGCAATTTTATGAGTTGTGTTCGATAATGCGTGACAGTTGAAAAATTTAAAGAACTGCAGAAACCGAATAACATAGGAAGACTTCAAATTGATTCACAAAGAAATGCTTGTCAATAGATGGGTCTGTGAAGGACTTTAGTGTATTCCTACGAACTAAAAATGCTAGCTAATCACGACTGACTTTTGCAATATCATCACGGTAAATGTGTTCCTTTGACAGAGAATGCAGGATATTACACTTGCAGGATTAGACCGATGTAGAATGAGGGTGAATATTAACAGTCCTACCTGGAAACGTGCTTTTAGTACATTTCCGAGAGAGACATTTTTGAAACCGACATTCTGCCGAATATCATCGTAATTTGGAATATTGATGCCAACCGGCAATCCAGAGACACCAAATGACATAATGTCCAAACTCGTGAAGTCGGGCTCTAAAAATACGTCTTTCTCATAACTGGAAGGCCAAGGTAACAGGGACAGAAATGACGAGGCGCAATTAACGAGATTTTGAAATTTCGCTGACACTTCCTTGTCGACAACAGCGACAAAGGTTTCAAACTCTCCCCGAACGCCATACGGATCCCGGTAACTTTCAATGAAACCGATATAGCTTTCTACAGCCGGTTGTTTGTCGGCTACCCAGTACCTTGATCCAGCTTTGTGTGCTTCAATAGAGCCAGTTTGAAAACTACGCTGATATTCACTCCACATTTTCTTTTGATCCTCATTAAGAGCAGCTGCTTTAACCGCAGTAATACCCGACACAATTAATTGCATAAGCTCATTATAGTCGCCGTACTGTATTTTGAGCGTCGAAGACTGCGGTAAGCCAGAGTTTTCAATTTCCTCCTCTTTGACTTCAGCCGACGCAACCAGCAGTACGTAATTGTCCCGTCCATTGGCGTCCTTCTCAAAACTTTTAAACAAGCGAGTGTTGTAAGCTTCTACTTTTCTTGAATTTAGGAAAGACTGGACAAGTTCAGCATCTTCACGAGTGCAGTTTGCTGAATAGTATGCTGTCGTGCCTTCTGGAGGAAATGCCAAACGCAGACGTCTTGGATGAGTTGAATAGATACTGTCAATCACACGCCCAAAAATGTCTCTGGCCGTCTCAGAAGACCTGTAAGCATCTGTAAGTTCGATTATGCTGGTAAAAACTTCACGATCAACAGCAGGAATGAATTTCGTGTCGCCGAAGGACAAGTAATTTCCTAAATTGCCGTAAATCGACGCGAAATAAGCAATGAAAGCGTCGATATCTTCGGCTTGAATATCATTAGATTTCGCTAAATCACAAATCTCTGAAACAGTCTGCTTTTGGAAAAGGTACTGTGATAGCAAGAATATCCCAGCGGCCTCTGGCGACAATTGGATTAGATCGATCAATGCCCCAATCCAAGCAACCTCGTCAAGAGCGTACACGTACCGTTTCTCTTTATCGGAAAGCAAGTTAAACGATTTAACATCCAGAGGCAGCACATCAGGGGCCACCAGAACGTTGTCATCCATCCAAATAAGCTAAGATGAAATTAAATATGTGCGGTGAGTTGAAAGATCGTTATCATCTGGAGCTTTCAAACAAAAATGATATTGTAGTATTCCGTACTACTCGTGGTCTTGAAGAGACTGGTGCGTGATTTGATAACGAAGGGGGGCAACGACTCTCGACAGATAATATAGAGATCTCTTCTAAAAGGCGGTTAACCTCGGAATGTACAGC